TGATTCTTCGATAAATGATTATAGATCAAGTAAAAGACTTATGTTACTCTGCCATTAATTAATATCAGTGTAATTCCAGCATTTTATTTATGTTACAATGAGTTTGTGTGCCAGTTTTGTTATTCATTGTTAATGTAATGACTCTCATATGACAATGAAACGTTGTTTTACACATTCCCTTCTCATTATTATGACTGGCTTTTCATACAAACCATCAGAACAATGCAGACGGTTCATGCAGTGTAACTCAGATTGAACTAGAATGGCTTGGTGTAGTTTATTTTTACTTTAAAGAAACGTTTCGAGTCTTTCTAAACAAGTCTATGAGTTATTATAAGGGAATATGTACTATATGCAGAAGATCATCCTGAAGATCATGTTTTGAATTTGATGTGAGAAGATTTGCCTTTTTATCAGCACATCACTAAGAATGTATCTCGTGCTTTTTATACCTTGTGTTAATTGGGTAGAAGAGAGACCGTTTTCTTTGCATTAGAATAATTTGAGTTTTGCGTTCTGTACTATTATTACTACTGCAACAGTATTTGCCTGACCTCAACTCTGTTTTTAAAACACGCTTACGTGATTTTAGATGATACTTGACTGTAAAACTGACTGTAAAGAGGGATGTTTGCTCTTAAAGGGATAGTTCACCTTCAGTTGCTGGTCCCCATTGACTTGCATAGTGTTTGTTTTTTTCTCCGTACTATGGAAGTCAATGGGGACCAGCAACTGAAGGTGAACTGTCCCTTTAAATGACCTTCATTAACCTCAGAAGAATAGCATTAGGGAATAAACGATTACATATGTTATTTCTTGGTGGTTCAACCAAGCCTATTCCCATCATCAGTCTGATAGTATCAACAAAATCTGGAAACTTTGTCTCCAACTTTCACCTTTTCCCCACATTCGACCTTTACAGTGCTGCAGACTTCACTGAGCAGGAAACGGGTCATTTGCTGAATTTTGCTTGCATTTTTAGCAGTCTGAACTTGGAAATGTTGGAAACAGGGTGTACAGCCACAAAGATTATGAAATTATGTCTGTTATAAATGGTGTAAACAAATATCGTTCTGATACTTTCAGGTGTCATGAAGTTATGATGTTCTTTTATGATGTAAAGTTCTTTTACATAAAGTCATTAGATTTAAAAGCTATTGAAGTGTGAACCTGATTTTTTTTTCTTATGCTCACCAAAGATTTACATTTATTTGAACAAAATATAGTATAATAATAATAGAGCAGTATTGTGAAATATTACAATTTAAAAGACCTGTTTTCTATGTGAATATATTTTAAAATGTAATTTATTCCTGTGGCGTAAAGCAGAATTTTCAGCATCATTACTCCAGTCTTCAGTGTCACATGATCCCTCAGAAATCAGTATAATATGCTGATTTAGCATTCAAGAAACATTTATTAAAGCTGAAAACAGTTGTGCTGCTTAGTATTTGTTGAAACCATTTTTCAGGATTCTTTGATTAATACAACGTTCAAAAGAACAGCCTTTATTTGAAATAGAAATATTTTGTAACATGTTGAATATTTTTACCGTCACTTTTGATCATTTAAAATTGAACGCATCCTTGCTGAAAAAAAAAAACATTTCTTTAAAAAAAAAAATACTGACCCCAAATTGACAATATATGGCCTGTTTTACAAAGAAGAAAATATTATTGTACTTTGATTTGCAGTACTTCAATCAGTGTATCCACCGTCATTAAAAACTTGGAAATATAGTTAATAAAATAATGGAAATCAAGCTGTGGAATTTGAAGATAATATGAATATTTCATTGGCAATAAATTGCTCTTAGTGTTATTTCTTTTACAGTAACAGAACACATATTAACACACTGGAAAAAAAATAATTAATTGGTCAAAAGGTGTGTGAACCCTGTTTAGCAAGTCAGTGTTCTTTTTAACAAACATTTATTTTTAACTAGTTTGTGTAAGACTGGTCTGGTTTGATCTAGTTTTGTATCCTGTTTGGTTTGGTACTACCTAGCTGCCCTGTATCATTTTAAAATCAGATGAAAATAATTCATAAAATCACAAAAACAATTACAGTTATTTCAAAACCTTGAAGTTTTTTTTTTATTACTTTTTTTTTATACAGAAATAGTCAATGAAAAGTCACATATAACAAATATTGTTTAAACACTGAAAACAGCCCAAAAGAATGCAATGCTTTGAATTTAAAGTTGGGAACATCCAATCACCAGAATGTGATGAACTGTCCATGAGCACAGGAGATATTACATCCTCTTATGTGAGAGTGTCTTCACTTCTGATGTACTCGCCGATATCAGCCTGATGGAAAACCACAATGGACATGGGGTCCACCTTCCGACACTCCTGTGTGGTCTTCGCTGCCACTCCAAAGCCCTGAAAAGAGATGAAGATTGTAAGAGCACCATTCAAGATCACTGAATACTTAAAGAAACAGTTCACATAAAAACGTGAATTTGCTCAAAATGTCCTCACCCTTAGGCCATCCAAGATGTAGAGGAGTTTGTTTGTTCATCAGAACAGATTTGGAGAAATGTAGCATTCCATCACTTGCTCACCAATGGATGCTCTGCAGTGAATGGGTGCCGTCAGAATGAGAGTCCAAACAGCTGATAAAAACATCACAAGTAATCCACACCACTCCAGTCCATCAGTTAACATCTTGTGAAGTGAAAAGCTGTGTATTTGTAATATTTTTTTTTTATGTTTTTATTACAAACATGCAGCTTTTCTCTTCACAAGATGTTAACTGATGGACTGGAGTGGTGTGGATTACTTGTGATGTTTTTATCAGCTGTTTGGACTCTCATTCTGACGGCACCCATTCACTGCAGAGCATCCATTGGTGAGCAAGTGATGGAATGCTACATTTCTCCAAATCTGTTCTGATGAACAAACAAACTCCTCTACATCTTGGATGGCCTGAAAGGGAATGCATTTTCAGCAAATTTTCATTTTTTTGTGAACTATTTATGTAACATGACAACTGTTGTTCCACCTTGAGGATTTTTAAACAAATATGTCTCACCAGCGGTACATCTGCCATTGAATACACCACCACTCCTTGGTACTGCGCTGTGTTTTCTGTGATTCTCCCCAGGCCGGACTTCATGATGTGGTTTCCGTACAGGAATGACTGCTCTGATCCCGGCTTCACCCACACCTTAAACTACAGTGGCATACACGAGGCACGTTACATTATGAAATAGGATATACTATATTCACATAGCCAGTCAAAAGTTTGGACATACTTGATTGTGTCCAAGGTGACTTGATTGAATTTGTCATGATGATCTTAAAAAACATTGATCTAAAGGCTTCTGCTAAAATGATTAAAACGTGTATTGTAGACAAATATAAATCAAGTTGTTGTTTTTTTTTTTTACAAAATTAAAACTTTTTGATATTATTACTTTTTTTTTTTTTTGAGTCACACAAGAAACCAAAAGAAAAAGAGCCAAAAAGTGTCTATAAATAAATATAGATATAATCAAGTCACATTTATTTCTATGGTGCTTTACACAATACAGATTGTTTCAAAGCAGCTTCACACTAATAAACAGGAAAATAACAGTGTTAATGCTGGAAAATACATAATCAGAATGAATATGTACCTTAGCATATGGCGCGAGGAAATCGAGAGCTGTGATGTGCAGACGGAACTTCTGTGTTTTCGTGAACTTTCCGAAGCACGTGCCAACAGATACCAGTTTATCTCGGGAGATATTTGTAGCCAACTTCAAGATTTTTTCACTAAAATGTACAAGATGACAAAATAAGATTACTATGCAATTTATTTCAAATTCATATTTACATTAGCATTACATTAAAGACTCAATGAAAGCAAAACTGGACTTTTTGGTGTTATTCCATCCTCTATTCACTTTAAGGTCATCTATAGTGTACATTCAATTAAAACATAAATCTTTTTTTCAGTCCAACATATCAATTGTTTAAGCAAACTGGCTATTACAAATGAATAGGAAACTTCCACAGGAAATGTTTATGGAGACCATATTTAATGTCACAATTAATAGGAATGTTAAATAACAAAGACAGCAGACAACCTTACCTCATATAATATACTCGATCATTATGAAGTCTGAAACAGTAAGTCCCATCAGGCCGATCAATAAGAAGTTTGATATTCTCCCCAATGCTAGAAACACAAAAATTGGGCGTACTTAATGCAATTGGTATTAAATAGTGCTGTCAAATGATTAATCGCGATTAAAAAGTTTTTGTTTACATATACGAACATGTACCGTGTATATTTATTATGCATATATACATACACACACATACATTATATATTTTGAAAATATTTACATGTATATACATTTATATTCTTATATTTTATATATAAACATAACATTTTTCTTAAATATATACATGCATGTGTTTGTATTTATATACACATAATTAATGTACAGTATACACACATATATTATGTAAACAAAAACTTTCATTTGGGATGCGATTAATCGCGATTAATCGTTTGACAGCACTAGTATTAAAACATACTTTAAGTCATAATTTAAAATAATCTTGGGCTATATTATGCAACACACATACACAATACTTAAAATAATGATATAAATACGAGCTGTAAATAATATTACAAAACCATGCAAATCATATCAATGTAAGTATTGCCAAATATAATACAAATAACAGTAAAAAATAAATAAACTATACATCTTAAGAATGTATAATAGTTTAGCTTATGTTTTTTACACGACATGATGACACTATACTAATTCCTTCTCTAATTAAGTCTTACCGAAACATGTCACTTACTATTTAGAGAGTTTCTCAAACATCGTTTTTGTCTCTTCGTCTGTTAACGGACGCATGATGAAAAGAATAATTATATTCTTGCTAAAGAAACTCAAACAAACACCGCAGCTCTCGCGGTGCACAGGCCACGTGGGTTCAGTCCGTCGCACACAAGTGACGTCGTGCCGTTTAAATAAAGTTTGCCGTAGGGTTTTGAATCAACACTTTCGATCATGGCTGCCGTAGACGTGGAAGATGAGAGTATCCTGGCCTCGATCTTCAAAGACAGCTTTCCTGAGAACTGGAGCGAGAACCCGGACTTCGCGGCGTATTTGTCGCAGCTGAGCTCGTGCGGTGTGGACGAGTTGAACCGGGAGCCCGAGCGTCTGGCGGAGGAGCGGGCGCAGGTCCTGCAGCAGACCCGAGAACTGGCCTTCACCAACTACAAGACGTTCATCAGGACCGCGGACTGCACGCAGCACATCTACGCTGACTTCAGCACGGTGGAGAACTGCCTCTCTAAACTACTGCACAAACTCCCCAGCTTTACTGAGAGATGCGGGTCTGTGCTTCACTCTGTCTGTGTAGAAAATAATGGAGGACGTAACGATAGATTGACAGACAGGGTTGCCAGGTTTTCACAACAAATCCGCGTTTCGTGGGGGCTCCCCCGATAAAAATCGCGTTCCGGGGGGTAAAATTCACGTTTGTTTTGGCGTGGTTCCTCTGGAAAAATTCGCATTCCAGGAGATAAACATCACGTTATTGGTGTCGCTTCAACCCGCGGCAACAGTGTTAATGTAGCTCAATTCCGCGCGAAAACCGCGGACTTGGCAACACTGCAGACATTAGTTTGACAGGTTGTTTATTGATTTGATGATGTATTTGTTTGTTTTTATCTTACTGAATTCGTTTTAATTTATTTTTTGATTGCGTGAATGGACAACATTAGTAGCTATTATAACTTAAAAGTTATAATTTTTGATTTATTAATATGTATTAAACTTGTATAACGTTTAACTGATCATTAATGAATGAATTGCACATTGCAGATGGATAGTTTTGATTCTGATATAGACAGATTTGGTAACCGTGTGATAACTTTACATTTATTCATATTTTTTAAATAATTATTATTTCTTCAAGAAACATACATTTAAACCCAATGCTTAAAAGATCATAATGTACTTTAAAATAGTCTGAAAATATATCCATATTTGATCTGTTTTCATATGAATGTACACTGCTGTTAAATTTTTTGGGGTTGGTAAGATTTTAAAAATAGTTTTGAAAAAAGACTCAAGTGTCCAGCAAGACTGTATTTATTTGATCAAAATTACAGTAAAATTATGTAATATTATTACCATTTAAAGTAACTATTTTCTGTTGTAATATATTTTAAAATATAATTTATTCCTGTGATGCAAAGCTGAATTTTCAGCATCATTACTCCAGTCTTCAGTGTCACATGATCCTGTAGAAATTATTCTAATATGCTGATTTGCTTCTCAACATTTCTTATTATCAAAGATAAAAAACAGTTGTGCTGCTTCATATTTTTGTGAAAACTAATACTTTTTTTTCAGGATTCTTTTATATAAAGTTTAAATGAACAGCATTTATTTGAAATAGAAGTCTTTTGTAACATTATAAATGTCTTTGTAACATTTTATCAATTTAATGCCAGTGTCACATGATCCTGTAGAAATCATTCTAATATGCTGATTTGCTTCTCAACATTTCTTATTATCAGATAAAAAACAGTTGTGCTGCTTCATATTTTTGTGAAAACTAATACTTTTTTTTCAGGATTCTTTTATATAAAGTTTAAATGAACAGCATTTATTTGAAATAGAAGTCTTTTGTAACATTATAAATGTCTTTGTAACATTTTATCAATTTAATGCATCCTTGCTGAAAAAAGTATACTTTTTTTTTTTTTCAAAAACAACAAAAACGGTAGTGTACATACATGCTACGCATTATATAATGTTAATTAATTACTTATTAATGAAAGTTATCATCATTTGAATTTTTGTAATAGGCCAATGAGAAAAAATGCATTGCAACATAATCCAAGCAAACGTATTACAGTGCAGTGCTCGTTATAAAACATGTTCAGAAATGCTGTAAGTAACTGGTTGCTGTTTTGTCATTTCTTTGCAGAGGTTTTATTAAGGAGGCAGAGGAGATCAGCGTCAGCAGGCGTATGAACAGCCTGACACTGAATCGACACACTGAGATCTTGGAGATTCTGGAGATCCCTCAGCTGATGGACACGTCTGTGCGTAACGGATACTATGAGGAGGCGCTGGAGCTTGCTGCTTATGTGAAGAGACTGGAGAAAAAACATTCATCACTTCCTGTCATTCAGGTACATGTGACACTGTTCTGCACCTGTAATCACAGTTTTTCACTATTACCATATTTTCCGGAAAATAAGTCGCACTGCATTGTTGAAAGAAAAAATGCATAGATAAGCCGTACTGGTGTGTAACTCAGATTTTAATATTACAATCAGAAATAATGTAAAATACGGGTATTAATTCAAGTTGCTCCAAACCTGTGTGAGTTTCTTTCTTCTGTTGAGCACAAAAGAAGATATTCTGAAAAATGTTGGTAACCAAACAGTTGCTGGTGGCCATTGACTTCCACAGTATGGAAAAAAAAATACTATGGAAGTCAATGGCTAAGTGTCAGTGGTAACTGTTTGGTTAACATTCTTCAAAATATTTTGTGTTCAACAGAAGAAAGAAATACATACCGGTTTTGAACAAGGGTGAGTAAATGATCACAAAATTTTCAGTTTTGGGTGAACTATCACTTAAACCTCTGTTCAGGACAGGAATAAAAAATATAAGTATTTATAGTTACGTTCATTATAAACATTTATCATAAACGCCCAGCCTAAAAATTTACTATATTGCACTATACTCACATATATGGAGGACCGAACCTGCAAAAAATATTAAGTATTAACTGTAAAGGTAGGAAAAAATAAAGGAGTAAAATGGCTAGATTATAAAAAAACACGATTAATTCGATTATTTTTTTAATTCAATTTACTCATTAATAAAATATTGTATTAATTTTCCTGTTATTTATTTATTTAATTCGCTTTGGAATATACTTTGCAGCGCGTTTCAGATGATAAATGTAACAACTTAAATTCCAGAAAATATGGTACATTTGTTGTGCTCTTACTTTTGTAATTGATCAGATTTATGTTTTTCACCTGGTGGACTGTAAACATGTCTGAAAAACAACAAATACTTTATACTAAATAATATTCCTGTTTGTGTTTTTTTTAGGGAATTGTGCACGAGGTTCGACTGTCTGCTCAGCTCATGCTGAACCAACTTCTTCAACAACTGCGTAGTAATACACAGCTCCCGGTTTGCCTGCGCGTGATCGGATACTTGCGCAGAATGGACGTTTTCACCGAAGCCGAGCTGCGTGTCAAGTTCCTGCAAGCCCGTGGAAGTTGGCTGCGCTCTATTCTCGCCGCCATCCCGGATGAAGACCCTTACTTCCACATTACCAAAACCATCGAAACCTGCCGCGTGCATCTCTTCGACATCATCACCCAGTATCGCGCCATATTTTCAGACGAGGATCCGTTGCTGCCGCCCGGCGGTCAGGCGTTGAACGAGAGCGCCATCTTTCACGGCTGGGTGGTGCAGCAGGCGGCGCAGTTCTTGGAGACCCTCGATCGGGACCTCCAGCGTGGGGTGGGAAGCCGTTTGGACTCTCTGCTCGGCCAGTGCATGTACTTCGGGCTTTCCTTTAGCCGGGTCGGGGCGGATTTCCGTGGCCAACTCGCTCCCATATTTCAGCAGGTTGCCATGGACACGTTGTAAAGGTAGGAAAAAATAAAGGAGTAAATGGCTAGATTATAAAAAAAACACGATTAATTCGATTATTTTTTTAATTCAATTTACTCATTAATTAAATATTGTATTAATTTTCCTGTTATTTATTTATTTAATTCGCTTTGGAATATACTTTGCAGCGCGTTTCAGATGATAAATGTAACAACTTAAATTCCAGAAAATATGGTACATTTGTTGTGCTCTTACTTTTGTAATTGATCAGATTTATGTTTTTCACCTGGTGGACTGTAAACATGTCTGAAAAACAACAAATACTTTATACTAAATAATATTCCTGTTTGTGTTTTTTTTAGGGAATTGTGCACGAGGTTCGACTGTCTGCTCAGCTCATGCTGAACCAACTTCTTCAACAACTGCGTAGTAATACACAGCTCCCGGTTTGCCTGCGCGTGATCGGATACTTGCGCAGAATGGACGTTTTCACCGAAGCCGAGCTGCGTGTCAAGTTCCTGCAAGCCCGTGGAAGTTGGCTGCGCTCTATTCTCGCCGCCGTCCCGGATGAAGACCCTTACTTCCACATTACCAAAACCATCGAAACCTGCCGCGTGCATCTCTTCGACATCATCACCCAGTATCGCGCCATATTTTCAGACGAGGATCCGTTGCTGCCGCCCGGCGGTCAGGCGTTGAACGAGAGCGCCATCTTTCACGGCTGGGTGGTGCAGCAGGCGGCGCAGTTTTTGGAGACCCTCGATCGGGACCTCCAGCGTGGTGTGGGAAGCCGCTTGGACTCTCTGCTCGGCCAGTGCATGTACTTCGGCCTTTCATTTAGCCGGGTCGGGGCGGATTTCCGTGGCCAACTCGCTCCCATATTTCAGCAGGTTGCCATGGACACGTTCCGGAAGGCTGTTCAGGAAGCGGTGGACAAGTTCCAAGAGGATATGAACTTGTACACGCTGATTTCTCTGCCGTCCATACTTGGAAGCACCATTCCTCCGGCGGTCCCGAGCACCCAGCCGGGCACACTGCAGCCCCCCATGGCCCTGCTGGATTTCCCACCTCTAGCCTGCTTCCTCAATAACGTCCTGACAGCCTTCAATGACTTACGACTGTGCTGCCCTATTGGACTCGCACAAGAAGTTAGCAGATGTGTTGAGGAAGCCCTTATTAAGGTAATTAATTACATAAATAATATGTTAGAAATATATACTACAGGTATGTTTTTTATTTCCTCTTATTGCCATCGAGGCTGGATTTATTTCATCACAATACAGTAAAAGCTGAAAAATTGTGAAATATTATTACACATTTCAATAGCTGTTTTCTATGTGAATATATTTTAAAATGTATTTTATTCCTGTGATCCAAAGCGGAATTTTCAGCATCATTACTCCAGTCTTCAGTGTCACACGATCCTTCAGAAAACATTCTAATATGCTGCTTTAAGAAACATTTCTTATTATTGTCGTCCTTGCTGAAAACAGTTTTGCTGCCGAATATTTTTGTGCAAACTGATCCATTTTTTTCAGCATTCTTTGATGAACAGAAAGTTAAAAAGAACAGCGTTTATTTGAAATATAAATCTTTTGTAACGTTACTTATAAATGTATTTACTGTCACTTTTGATCCATTTAATGCGTCCTTGCTAAATAAACGCCCGTTCACACAAAGAATGCTAATTATAACAATAACTATTTTAGCATGGTAAGGTTCTGTTCATTATTAGCACACTGCAGTTTTGTCGTCTGCCACTTTAAATGCTTGAGCTCTTTATAAAGCAGGATGGATTCTGATTGGCTGTCAATGATCTGAAAGTGATTGGAACATATCATTCCAATATTGTATTCCAATACTGTTCCCCTGTGTTATTGTTATAGTTATGGTGTGGACTTCCATAATCTCATATTCTAGAATTAGAACAATTTTTAAAGCTTTATAGTTATCATCCTTGGTGTGATTTTAAGAATTTCTTCAAAAAAAAACTTGCTAGACTTTCCAACAGTAGTGTAGAATGTAGATTGACTGAATTCAAATCGACTATGAAAGGAAAATATGTAGACATATTTACTTTGCTTCCTTGAACAATTATTCTCTCATTTTGACAGATTCTGATGTAACAGTGTTATTCTGTTCTTAGGTGACCAAGCTGATCCTGGTTTTCCATCGAGCCGAGGAATCTGCCTTCAGTAGCCGTGAACGGGATTTATTTGTTCAGTTCTGCAGTGCATTTGCTGAAGACATGGTGCCATTCTTGAACCGATGTTTACAAGTTCTCTTTCCTCCAGCCCAGCTTGCTCTCATGCTAGGTGAATATCCTCAGGATAACATCGAAATTTTTGTCACATTACAAAAATAAAACGGGTTGCAAACACCATTTGATGTTAACTTGCAGGTTTGTCTTGTATTTGTATTGTAGGTGTCCCTCCAACCCAGGTTTATAAGTATGGCAGTCTTGGCTGCATCAATGTGAACACAGTTCTGGAGCCGCTGGAGTTTGTTCTGCCCCAGAAGGAGCCCGTGACCTCTATCCTGGAGCTCTGCACTGATCTGAGCAGCCTGACCACAGCTGAATCAGATCCCTCGACTGCACTCAAACCTGTAACACTTCAAGAAGAAAAGCCTGTCTTCTCTGAACGACAAGAGCCTGTGTCAGCATCTGATCCTCATCTTTCTCAAATTGAGAACATTTCTGCTGAAGCGGTCAGTACAGAGCAAAACGACCCAAGCCAAGAGACTGAAATGACCATTGATGAACAGGACTTGACAGGGCCAGATGGTTTCTCCACAACAGATAATAATGTTGAGGAGATGTTGTCAAAATAAAAAGCACTACATGCAGTGTGTTTTTAGGGGTCCTAAAAAAATTAAGCTTTGTTTTTATAGCAAATAACTATCTGGATATACTTTTACCAGGGCTTGGTTCGCATTTTTATTTGCAACTTAATTTTTTTGATTAATAATGTAATGTAATTAAAAATGGTATAATATATTTAAGTCGGGGGAAAAAATATGTTCTTTGAATCACATGTTTTCTACAAGTTACAATGGTCCCAAAAAGTATTGGGACACTTAAAGGCAGGGTATGTGATTTTTCAAAAACACTTTAGAAAACTGATTCGGGCCGAATAGCAAAACAAACTTGTAGCCAATCAGCAATAAGGGGCGTGTCTACTCGTGATGTGGAGGAGAGTGTCTGAATGTCTTTGAATTAGATATAAACTCAAGTGGCATTTATCTTATTAAAAAAGAAAGATGGCACTTTTAAGCAAAACATTTTACAAAAAGATGGTGACATGATATACTGTTCAAAATGAAGACAAAATAAATGTTCTGTTTGAGGTTAGTGGAACGTATTCATAGTTAATGTGGTGACTTAAACCTGTGGTTTCTCTGTTAGAAAACATGTATGAATTTGAGAACTTGAGACTTCACACGCATACTAAAAACCACGGGCGATTAGTTGGTGAAATGTCATTGCAAAAAGATTTAATAAATAATAATAATAATGTAGTTCTGAGAAAAGCTTGTGCATCATTCGTCTACAGATGGAGCTTATCTAATGCAAAGGCATTAAAACGGGGATAGTTCATCCAATAATAAAAATTCTGTCATCATTTACAAACCCTCTACTTGTTCCAAAGCTGTGTGAGTTTCTTTATTCTGTTGAACACAAAGAATGAAGAATGTTGCTAACCAAACTGTTCCCAGTAGCCATTGACCTCCATAGTATTTTTTTTCCCACACTATAGAAGTCAATGGCTACCGCCAACTTAGGGCTGCACGATTATGACAAAACTCATAATTGTCGATTATTCCCTTGAAATTGTGATTATTAATTACGATTATCACAATTTACATTGAATTATGTTTATACCATTGTTTGATACAACTGCATGCCGTATTTTTATATGAAAATAAACAAGCTGAAAACACTCTAACTGAAAAACCTTCAGTGCTTTTCTATAGTATTAAGCCTCAAATGTCAAATATACATTGGATTGGTTTCTTCTTTAAATTATAAAAAAGTAAAAATATGAATGGTATTATAATGTTATACTAAAACTAAAACAATGGGAAAACCCTTAAGATAACATGCAGCCAACTGTTTACCAACATTCTTTTATATTCTTTTGTGCTCAACAGAAGAGACAAACCCACACAGGTTTGGAACAACTTGAGGGTGAGTAAATGATCATTTTTATTTTTAGCTGAACTATCCCTTTAATTTTGACGTAAGCATTCATATACCTTTGTGGCATCTGTATGTACTTTTAATTTGATTACATATTAGATTTCACTTCTGTTGTATGTTTTTTGTTTGCTCATATTTTCTAGGGTGTTTTGGGGGGAAAAGTTTTATTAAAATTGGATAAAAAATATTGGGTTGTTCTTTCTGTTATTTTGATATTCATTACAATGAATCAAGTGTGTTCTGTTTTTCCCACAAAATAGAGGAGTTTGCATGGAATAGCAGATTGTCTTTGTAAAGTGTCTTTTATATCTAGATCAGAAAAGCAAGTTATTAAAAGTTAGCACAAAAATAAGATTTCCATTTCACAATTTCAACTGGTATGAGGGTAGATTATGGAAAATATTTTGTGATATAGAGTTAAACCTAAGGTCAAGAGAAAGATGAAACCGATTTATTAAGAGAAATCACAAGAATCAAGAATTCAATGTTTCAGGCTTCCAGTCCAGAATCTGCAGGTAGGGTGAGAACATAATCACTTCTTAACACATTTTTTGCGTGCTGCGTTAGGATTTGTTCGTTGTCTTCCTCCTCCAGTCTGAGCGTCCCGCAGCTGTAAGTTGGCTGACCTGCTGTAGATATCGTGCTCGGAGAACGGAGAGCTGCCAGCCAGGTAGTCTGGGTCAAACACATCAGTCTTCTGACGAGCCTTTTTAGACAATCTCTGCTGGGGGAAACGCTGATCGTCCACCAGGTGTGGGTTGTTGGCGTGTTTTCCTCCTTGTGGCAAAGGCAAAGAGTACTGCAGAGGACAAGAGAAGAAACAAACCATAAGTACATGATTACTAACATTGATTTATATGACACTACTCATGCAATGCCTTCCAAATTTTTTATGCATTTAGCTCATATATAACATTACATTTACTGTTACAACATCCAAAGCATTACTCACTCTCTTCCCCTTTGGATTGAGCACTTTTGAATTCCTGGAAAAATGCATCTGCATGGTGCCGTCCTTGTTAATGCTGACAGCAACCTTCTTCAAGGTGTCGTTCCCACAATGTGGACAGAAAGATTTGTTCATGTTTGTTGTTGTCCTGAAAATATGGAAACAACAACAAGAAGAAAAAAATTACAGTGACAAAGTTACACACATCACATATTATTATAAATGTGTAATTATTCCTGCTCCAAAACTGTTATTCTTTTCCGAGGTGAGTCCATCACTTACTTGAAGCAGGCATGACAGCGCAGAATGTAACTCCTGGTGTTTTTAATAAGCATGCCATTAACAGACAGCACATGCAGTCCAATCTGAATCAGAACATTCTGTCAGGAAAACAACAAGACATTAGGTTTTTGTGACAAAATAATGGACATAATTGATCACACTTGCTTAATGTGCATGGTTAAAGAAATATTTTAGCATTCCACCACTTGCTCACCAATGGATCCTCTGCAGTGAATGGGTGCCGTCAGAATGAGAGTCCAAACAGCTGATAAAAACATAATCAACAATAATCCACAAGTAATCCACACCACTCCAGTCCATCAGTTAATGTCTTGTGAAGTGAAAAGCTGCATGTTTGTAAAAAAACTAATCTGAGTATGTGTATATGAGTCCATAATGCATAATATTGCTTCCTCCAGTGAAAAAGTCCATCCCCTGTTGTTCTCTCATCAAAATCCACCGACATATTCGTTCAGAACTGTTTTGGACCGTTTTCAATTGTAAACAGTGTTTGTTTCAGATTTCTCTCCTGATTCAGACGTGATGACTTTGTCACAGCAGAAAGCAATATTATGGATTATGGACTCGTATTTTAGCTGGAACCAATGGTTTGAAGTAAAAAAACGTCTTAATGACAGTTTTGTTAACTACAAACACACAGCTTTTCACAATACATTAATTTATGGACTGGAGTGGTGTGGATTATTGTGATGTTTTTATCAGCTGTTTGGACTCTCATTCTGACGGCACCCATTCACTGCAGAGGATCCATTGGTGAGCTAAATTTCTCCAAATCTGTTCGGATGAAGAAACAAACTCATCTACATCTTGGATGTCATTTTTCAACAAATTTTCATTTTTGGGTGAACTATTCCTTTAATCAGCACACATTGTTACAATGAACAATAAGAATCCTCATTTTCATAATCCAATAACTTTTTCTGTTAATGTAAACAAGGTTCACAGTTGGGAAAATATAATATTATAAAATCTGTGAAAAACATGTTTTAATTGATTATTTCCAATATGTCTAATCAATGACAAGTACCTGCATGGCAAAGTCAGTGGTCAAGCAGCCCACTCTGACATCTGCTGTCGGTCCCCAGTTACTAGCATCCATCTGGACTTGCTTTATGTTACTGGGAGTAATCCAACCTCCACCAACCTCCTCCTCATCGCTGCTTTCTTCTTCTTCCTCGTGTTGGTCTCCACTAGTGCCATCTTGATCTTCAGATTCAGCCAGCTGACTGTCAGCAGACAGGTCAACAGACTCTAGTTTGTCTGTGACTGTGATGGCGTCTGCTGCCTAGAGAGAAGGAAAGAAAGAAGGAAAATAGGATTTATTTTGGTCTAAAGTGACTGTGGCAACAGTTTGGATGTTGTCGGATTCCTCACCAGCAGTTCCAGAAGGTCAGTCTCAATGCTGGGCAGAGGATTCCTCCAAAACTGAAAGGTGTTGAACTGTGAAGTATCAGGGTCTTGTGGCTCATTTGTTGTAGGTGGGATTTGGACAGCTGTACTTTGTTTGCCTGAAGACTTTTTTGGGGAAAAAAGCTGAAATTAATAGGAGCCCTTAAGGTACATCTGCATTATCTGTCTATGTATATTTACTTTTTCTATAAAAACATTGGTGTCAAACTGGAAGAAGCCTTGGATATTCATTTTAATAACATTACTCAAATACTTGCATTTGCAAGTAATGTCTTACTTTTGATGGAAAATGGAAACCAGCAATGCCAACAGGAGTCTCTGGATGTCTTTGTGTACTGAATATTTGGACCTGAAACACAAACAGAAAACTGTGTTGAAAACTAGAACAGATGTGAATGAATGTGAATTAAGATATGAATTAATCAATCAATCAATCATCAGTACCTTTTTCTCAGGTTCTTTCTTCAAATGCTCAGTTCCCACATTCTCTGTTTCCAGTTGATAAGTCAGAGCCAGGACCTTGATGTCTGTTGCTGAAAGACTGGGATAGTCTCCTGTCTTTTTAGCAAATTCTGTAACTGTGTTTTTCAAAGTAAATAAAAAATTAATATGCATAAATCATCACCCATAACACAGTTTCAGCATTCAAATAAAGACATTCAACATAAGACGCATTAGTAATAGTATAAGTTATTACCAAATCGTACGTGCTCTGGAAACGGTTCTTTGAAATTGAGCTTGTATGGCAAAAAAGCCAAACTCCTTTTTGTTGGTTTATCCCGAATTTCATCAACAACATCCTTCAAGGTATAAATGTTCTTTCCAATTTCCTAAAAGTAAAGCAAACAAACATGTGATAACAGATATGTCTGGTATGCATATATATTAGGGCTGTGCGATATTGAAGAAAAATGCGATATGCGATAACTTTTGGGATCAGTCAGACTTTTAATGTGTTATAAAGAAGTCTCTTCTGTTCATCAAGGCTGCATTTTTTTTACCAAAAATACAGAAAAACGGTAATATTGTAAAATATTATTACATTTTCATCAGCATTACTCCAGTCTTCAGTGTCACATGATCCTTCAGAAATCATTCTAATATGCTGAATTATTATCAGTGATTTAACACATCCTTGCTGAATAAAAGCATTCATTTTTCAAAAAAAAGAAAAAAAATTACTGACCCCAAACTTTTGAACGGTAGTGTATATTGTTACCAAAGATTTATTTTTTTGAATAGGCCTAAATGCTGTTATTTTGAACTTTTTATTCATCAGAAAATCCTGAAAAAAAGTATCACAGGTTCCAAAAAATATTAAAGGGGTCATATGATGCGATTTCAATTTTTCCTTTCTCTTTGGAGTGTTACAAGCTCTTGGTGCATAAAGAAGATCTGTAAAGTTGCATGTCTACCTCATGATGTGGGAAGATTTGCATAACTCCGCCCAAATGTTCACGCAACGAAAGAAGGTGTAACTTGTATTCTGGCTGTAGTATTGTTGTTGCCGCCATGTCGTAAAGGCGCTGTGTGTTTCGTTGTGAAAGCGCGTTCTTTTTTAGCAACATCATATGACCCCTTTAAGCAGCAAAACTGTTTCCAACATTGATAATAAATCAGCATATTAGAATGATTTCTGAAGGATGTGACACTGAAGACTGAGTAATGATGCTGATAAAATTCAGCTCTGATGACAGGAATAAATTATATTTTAAAAGTATAATAAAATAGAAAACCATTATTTTAAATTGCAATAATATTTCACAATATTATATATAAAACATTTAGATGTAAAAATACATATTACTTAGTCGTCCAATTGGAAGTCTTCCATAATTTGTCACCATTCTCCATGATGAATGAACTGACGCACTATGGTAAAATACACCAAGACAATACAATGGCACACTGTGCAAAAACATGGTAGTACCATGTTATTTTTTGTTAGTGTGTCGCCTTTATGTAATCAAGTACACCACAATCGTGGCAACATACAATCTATCAATTATTTACTCTAACTCCAGTAACTTGGTCAAAACACCGCAGTACAGCACACGTGTCAGCTCTGTAATTTATCCTGCGTCACAGTCATTAAAACGGACATTTCTGGACAGCAGTATTAAATTATTAAAAAGGAGGCCAACGTCATCAACAATAACTCACTTGCAGAGGAGCCCTTTTGAGAAAAGCGCCAGCATCTGCCACAACATGCTCCACTACGATCGCGACCATCTTGTCAGTGGGTACTGAGTAGAAGCGGCTGACACGCGAGTTCTCGCGAGAAGACACTGTCGTCCCGTTAGTATCACTTCATTTGTTGACGTTCTGGTGGGTGAAGATGGCGGCCCGCTGGAGTAGTGAGAATGTGGTGGTGGAGTTTCGAGATGCGCAGGTACGCAGTCACTACACCTAGATGCATGCATTAGATGCGTTAGAAAAGTAGTTTTCACAAGCATTAGAGCAATAACCATGCACAGCTGCCATGTCAATACTCAGCGACGTCTATTAAGCTTTGAATTGAATGACAGCTTTTGTTTATTAAAGGGGTCATATGATGCTGCTAAAAAGAACATTATTTTGTGTATTTGGTGTACACACACGTGTTATAAGGTAACACAGACGACGTCAAACTGAAACGCTGCTTATGAAATCTGATGATTTTGTCTTATCCCAACAATGACTAGGAAATGCTTGAGCAAACCTTTAGATTATCGCCAAATGTAAATTATACTGTCGCCCAGCTCTAAACTACTAAATCGTGTACAATTAAGCATTAAGATGTTATAAACATTGAAATTATGAGTCTCTGTAAAGCTCCTTTTGTGTTACAAAGTGTATTGTGAAAAGAATTATAGAAACTTGAGAGTATAAATAATATATTCTAATATAACAAATATTTGTGATATTATAAATAACTTTTCAGACTGTTTTACTGTTTCAGTGATTTGGACTGGTCATGGTTTGAACCGGAGTTTCTTGTCACGAGTTCTGTCGACACATACATCTACATATGGGACACAAGGTGAGCGTGGACAAAGAGTGCATGATAAAGGGGATTTTTTTTCACCATATTTTACGCCTTTCTTTCATCATTTCCAGGGACACTCGAAAGCCAACCGTGGCTCTGTCTGCCGTGGGTAAGTGTAAAAACTTAATGAGTCCAGATATAACTTATCAATAAGGTTATTTGATCTGCAACATCTGTCCTTTTATTTATTGTTTTTATTTTGTCACGTTTCTAGCTGGAGCCTCTCAGGTGAAGTGGAACAGACAAAATCACTATTGTTTGGCGTCAAGTCATGATGGTGATGTCAGAATCTGGGACAAGAGGGTGATTATGTTACTTGCTGCATTATGATTATATAATCATCACTGGAATCGGTTATCAATTAATCTGTCTGCTTACCGTTCTGTGCTTCAGAAACCCAACACTGCAGTGGAGTATGTAGCCGCCCACCTGTCAAAGATTCATGGTCTGGACTGGCACCCTGATAACGAGTACATCCTGGCTACTTCCAGTCAGGACAACTCTGTTCGGGTGATTATTATTAGTTATTGATCGTATTGTTCATATTCTGTTATTTTGCTGCAGTTGAACTTTTACCTGATTCTGTGTCTGTATGGATTTACTCCAAAAGTTCTGGGACTACAGACAACCCCGGAAGTACCTTGATATCTTGTCATGTCAGGTGCCTGTGTGGAAGGCCAGATACACGGTACAGTTTGAAATTAACATTTATAATAATAAAAACCATTATTAATAATTAAGCACCAATCATCAAATCAGCATATTAGAACGATTTCTGAAGGATCATGTGACACTGAAGACTGCAGTAATGATGCTGAAAATTCAGCTTTGATCACATGTATAAATTATATTTTAAAATATATTAAAATAGAAATCAGTTACTTTAAAACAATTTTTACTGTATTTTTGATCAAATGAATACAGCCTTGGTGAGCATGAGAGACTTGTTGCAAAAACAAAACAAAAAAATCTTAATTTTTGTCCAGAAGTGTACTTTTTCCCCTTATACTTGCATCATTGAAATGCCATGTATAATTCCAGTAAACATGAATTAGCATATTATAAAGTACTCACTGCATCCATCCTTTTCTACTGTTCAGCCTTTCTCTAACGGCCTGGTTACAGTGATGGTTCCTCAGCTACGGCGAGAGAACAGCCTCCTCTTGTGGAGCACGCTGGAACTGAACAGTCCTGTTCACGCTTTCGTGGGCCACGACGATGTTGTACTTGAGTTTCAGTGGAGGCCGCAGAAAGAAGGTGAGAGGAGCAACCAGTAGATGGTGATAATTATGTGAACGAGTGGTTCATTTGAATAAAAACACAATCCATTCTGTATTTTAGGTTCCAAAGACTGCCAGCTGGTCACATGGTCTAGAGATCAAACCCTGAGGATATGGAGAGTAGATCCTCAACTTCAGAAGGTGATGCTCATGAACTCAATCCTTTCACTACAGCTGGTGACTTTATGCTTGAGACTGATGGACTCATGTGATCTGTAGCTGTGCTGTGCCAATGACATTGCGGACGAGTTGATGGAGGGCTTGACTCTCACCACAGAGACGGAGAAAACGCTGAGGTTCCAAGACTCCGAACCTCCGCTCAGCCCTGGATTCACAGCGGACAACTCACAAGGTGAAAAAAAGGGAAGAGTTGCTCTGACAGGGATTTGATGCATTATGGTTCATTCATTTAATTATTTTGACTCCACTCATAATTGCTGAAGACATGAACGTAGCTGTGAGCACGGTGTGTCTGCCTGTCTTATCAATTTATATTTAAATCTTATTATTTAAATCTATTATATTTATTTAAGTCTATTATTTATTTATTTGTGTTGTGTGGCTAAATAGAATACAAGAGAATAGAATAAACAAATAGAATTCAATAAATGAATTAAATAGAAATCTTCACAGGAAGTAGATTGGAATTGGTGGATTTTTATGAAATTAAATTATATATATATATATTATTTATCTATTTATTTAAATCAGCATATTAGAATGATTTCTGAAGGATCATGTGACACTGAAGACTGGAGTAATGATGCTGAAAATTCAGCTTTGCATCACAGGAATAAATGACATTTCGAAATATATTAAAATAGAACACAGTTCTTTTCATTGTAATCATATTTAACGATGTTACTGTTTTTGCAGTCTCTGTGCACATAAGAGACTTCTTTTAAAAACATTTTAAAAAATCATACCGACCCTAAACTTGAACATATAAAAAATATAAGATGCACATAAAGTAAATTGTGGATCTGAATTTGGTAGATTTTCTACTAATATTAAAACATTTATTTTGAATAAAAAATAATGCATTGAATATTTTATAATTATTATTGATTATTAAATCCCTTTATGCATGCATTGAATTTTCATTTTTGATCCCGTTCTTCATTTATGGTGATTTGAAAAAGTGGATGTTCCAGTCAGATCCTAGTTTTAATGAATGTAAATTACTGTCTGTTCACAGATCAGTTTGACGGCCCTCAGTCTGGCCTGTCGTCCAGCGGTAAGAATGACGTACCAGGTTTGCCTCAGACTCTGCAGCAAGAGTTTTCTCTAGTCAATTTACAGATTCGCAATGTCAATGTGGAGGTCAGTCACTGTGATTGCTGAAAATTGTCTGTTATGTGGAGTGCCATGTTGCAGAATTCGAATAAATGGGATGCAATTATAACAGTCAAACATAAATAAGACGGTGACATTAATGTTCTTGTAGATGGATGCCGTCAACCGCAGCTGCTTTGTGTCGGCCGACTGCGGAGCCAATCGTGTCCGTCTCGTGGTGAAGTTTCCTGCCCAGTATCCCAACAATGCAGCTCCATCTTTCCAGTTCGTCTCTCCGACGAACATCTCGTCTTCCACGAAGACCAAGATACAGAAGGTTGAAACTCTAACACCCATCACGCTTGAGATTTAGTCAAAGCTTTGAACAATGTCATGTTGAAGCAGCCTCATCTCTTTTGTAGATCCTGACTGATACGTCACTTCAGAAGGTGAAGAGAAACCAGAACTGCTTAGAGCCATGTGTTCGACAGCTGGTGTCTTGCTTAGAGTCAGATGGAGTCATGGTGAGTGAGCTTTACTTTTGTACTCATCATTTTGTTCAAACACATTTACCAATAGTTTCCATGATGAGTTTTTAACTCACTGTCTGCTGTTGGATGTCCAGGAGGACGGTACAAACCCTTACTTGCTCACCAACCCGGTGACTCCTGCACTTCCTGCTTTCCCTCGAGTAAGCAACACTTACGGCTCGTACCAGGACTCCAACATCCCCTTCCCACGCACCTCAGGGGCGCGCTTCTGTGGGACAGGTGGGCTGGGATATGACCCTTTTCTTCCATCTACGCATATTAATATTGGTCCACGGTTTATTAATTGAATGCCAAACTGATGCATGAAGTAGACATTATTTCTGTCTGTAATATAAAATATGTAAAATGTATATATTCTACTGGTCACAAGTTTGGAATAAATAATTTTTTGATGTCTTTTAAAGAAGTCTCTTATGCTCATCAAGGCTGTGTTTATTTGATCAAAGATACAGTAAAACAAGAATACTGTGAAATATTATTACAATTTAAAGAACAGCGTTCTATTTTAATATGTTTTAAAATGTAATTTGTTATGTAATTATAATGTATAATGTTACAAAACATTATTAATAAGCAGCAAAAAAAATTTCAAATTGTTTTATTAGAATGATTTCTGAAGACTGGAGCAATGATGCTTAAAATTCAGCTTTGTATCACAGGAATAATTTATATTTTAAAACATTAAAATAAAATAATGTTCTTAAATTGTAAACATATTTCACAATACTACTGTTTTTTTATTACCGTATTATTGATCAAATAAATGCAGCCATGATGAGCATAAGAGACTTCAAAAAATCTTCATTATTCCAAACTTTTGTTTTGAAATTTAAATCCAACACATAAATTGCAACTTAATTTGCTTATTAGGTTCCTTGGTTTATTTCACACGGCCCATAACTATGCATCGTACAGTCCCTCCGACTGAACCTACTCCCAGGTGAATATTCGATCCAGTTTGCATGCTTTATCTGAAACATGGAATGTTATGCTATATTATTATTTGAATACAGTGGAAGACAGTTTAGCACGTGTCGTAAGATGTAGTCTGTGTGCATGTGCAGGTCGCTGTCAGCTCTCTCAGCGTATCACAGCGGGATGATGACGCCCATGAAAATGCGAACGGAGTCTCAGACCACCCTGAGGTTGTA